TAAGAATCATAATGTAAAGGATATATGGTAAGTGACCCCTGTGGGGGTCATGACCCACAGGTTGAGAACATATGAGAAACAAAGACAAAACCATTTTGTGTGGATTTGGGGATTTATCATTGATCATCAAAGACAGAGTTACTTGCTAAAGACTCATATGCCTTCAGAAATTCAGGGTAATACATTTTGTCACTCGTGCTCAATGGTTAAAAATTACCTATGAGTGTCCTGAGTTTACATGTGACTATCAGTTTGATGGTCACAAAGTCACGTAAAAACATAGGCAACAACTTAAAAAAGTTAACGGGATGATAAGGTAACACTGTGCTTCTCTACGAAATCTTGCCTCTCCGCCTGACAGCTTATGTTCTAACACGAATCAAGTTCATATCTGAACAATGCCAGCATGACCAAGGTTTTCTATTCAAATGACCTATGACTTGTGACATGAGCATTCCAGTTATTCCCTAAGTGACAAGTCCATTTTGCATTATAATCATCACAAAACCAATTGATATTACTTAAATGACCATTCTGGAAAAAAAAAATCTTAGTCATTTTTTCCTCTTTTTGTTTTATTGTTTTTGTTGTTGTTTTGTGTATTGTTGTTGTTGTTGTTTTTAGGAGAGCTTTGGATAAGTGTTGACTGATCTAATTCTAAATAGGCTAGGGAATTTGTGTCACAAAAGTCATATATTTTCTTTAATGTCATACTTTGTGCTCTGTACCTCTGACCTCTAAGCATAGACACAGAGTCTTACAATGGAAAAGAAAGGCAAGGCAAGATTGTGGTGATCAGCAAACCGCAATCATTAGACCAGTGTGTGTTGATGGGCTTTAAAATCCAAGTTTTAAACGCTGACTTTGGGAGACCCAATGCTTGCAGGTTACTTGAATCACATTGTACATAACCCTGAACTGGGTTTTAACTGACACACTTTATGAGACTATCTTGTATTATTTCTATCACTTAAAAACAAATTCTGTGTGTTGACAGCTAAGGACCTACAGCCCTAAGAACTTAGGACTTCATTTGCTTAGTTGATGAACTATTTCATCCATCACACTGATGCTAAGTTAAAGAACAATATAAAACTATCCCTGCCCCCACACATTCTCGCCAGAAACATCAATGCTTCCTGTGAAAGGAACTGTATGGTAGAATTTGAAGAAAGAGGGATTTTTGTAAGGCCGTCTGTATTCACCCATCCATCTCGCCACTCCAAAACAAGTCTAGGAAAAATAAAGATTTTTTTTTCCAACCAAGCAAGGATGCCAATTGTAGCTAACTAAATACAGGATAGAAGTTTTTACTTTTAATCTGTAAGGTTAAAGCATGCATAACAAAGTTTTCACAGAGAAACAGAAGTTGAGTGAATTTTGGAAAAGTGGGTTCCCAATTCAGAGTACCTACGTGACTTTTGTCATTATCCTCTTTTCTGATTCCTACAAAGTAAAGCTAATTAAGAACCTCCGTCATTAGTCTTCCAGAAAAATTAGCACAGCTTATGCTAATTACTCCTGCAAAATTTAATAAACTCGTTGAAATGGGAATAGTCTAATGAGGTTTTATTTATTGAACTAAAATAACTCTAAGGGAAAAGGTTATGACACAAGGATATCCAATGTAGTAATAAAACTACAATGTACTTAATTTCTAAACAGGAATTTTATTGCAAACCTTTTAAATTCAAATCTGAGTTAGTATGTGGATGTTAAATCAATCCCTGCCTTAATTCAATAACTGGAAGTCATTTTTTTGCTTTTCACTTTAACAATAATTACCACACAGAGCCCTTTATCTCAAAGATAATGAAATTTGCTGTTGTTAGTTCCTGTTCATCAGCTATTAAACATAACACATTTGACTTTTTCCATGTCTACACAGTCCAAATATCTGGATCATTGGGCACAGGCTGGGGTTTTATGATTCTTAATCAAAGTATTTGGCATTGAGCAGAAATGTAACCTAGAGGTCGATTCCAGATGCACCCTTCCTATACCACATAGCAATTGTCCAGTAAACATGTTGACAAATTCTCATGACTGAAAAAAGTAACTTCGGTCATATTTTCTTACTTTGTTGCATGCCACTGGAAGGAAATAGAAACTTGTCTGTAAAACTGTTGATTTTGTTAATTCCATTATATAGATATGTATAGGTATAGATATAGATATAGATAATATACCAAATTGGTCTCCAAATCACTGGCAACAAATAATGTAGCCAAATTTTAACACAGAAATGGCTGGCCCTGCACCAGTGCTGTGTGACCAGAAAGGCTCTTCCATCTACACTATAAATAGTTTTCCTGAATAATCACTGCTAAAAGTCTTTTGACTCATAAAAATAGCAGTGTTCTTCCAAATTCTGAAGGTCAAGCAAAAGGAGCTAGAAATTATTAGCTTTCAAAACGAGGTGACTGTGTGTTACAGCTATGGTAACTTCTAAGGCCGCAACAGTCCACCCCTTGCATATTATAAGATTTGACTGTTACTGCTGAGCAGAGCAGGCTTGGGGACTCATATTCATAAATCTGAAAGCAAATCAAACCCTAAGCACGTAATAGATATTATGCAATCTGTAACACGGAATGAAATTGGAAACTGAAATCCAAACACCATTGCCATCATATTTTCCCCCTTTGCAGCAATTTTGTGCAGTTGAAAAATATTTTCTGTTTTGTCCTTCCTTGTCTAAGTTCTTGTGATTTTCAACCCTCACTATTAGAAAGAGAATTTTCACATATTGTCACAGGTATGACTGAAGGTTTGTTTATTTTTAAATCTTTGGCAAATAGAAGGGGAAAATAACTTTAAACACTCACGTGTAAATAAAAATAGCCAACTGGGAGCTTTGCTTATCAGCTGGTCTCATTGCCTGAAATGATAGTTCCATGGCAGACAGTGGCAAACACCAGCTAATAAATGTACATTGGGACTTGAACACATCCAGGATGTCTCAGACGTTTTTTAAAAATGCCCCTACCTTAAAGAAATCAAACTAGCTGTACAAGGCTTTCTACTCTGTCTAACTGAAAGGGGCGTGGAGGTGAAGGGAATGAAGAGGATAGATGTCATGAATAATATCTCTAAAGCCACCAACTGCATAAAGTGCAGACTTATTTTGCCTAAATTGTTTGAACTCCCCCAGCCGAGAAACGGTTTTAAGTACCCTACTGGGACAGATGCAAGGCGGCGACAATAGAAGCCACACTAATGCAATCCAGGTAACACAATCCTGTTTCAAAAACATGGAGCTGGCTAATTACAGCCCTGCTGAGTCAAGTTTCTCCTGCCATCGCAACCCACAGAAACAGGTCAAAATCAGATGTTATTCAAACCACAGTCGTATCAGCCTGCTGCATCAGAGTCACAGCTTAAAACCGAATGAAGAACTTTAAAGCTTAACCCAGTCACAAGCAAAAGAGAAAAAAAGTGTTTTCGTTGCGGGTGGCACGTCACCACATAAATCTCGAAGGACTATGAGGCACCACAGAATCCTTATGGTTTCAAAGTTAGGGGAGTATCTAGACTGGCCCTTTGGTGAGATGCTCTCTTTTTAATGCAGGAGTAAGAAATATTTGCTTTAAAAAGAAAGCAGTGTTCTGAAAGGTGTACACAAAAGACACCAACAATGGGGGGGGGTAGGCCTTTGACCCTGTTCGTTTGCTGATTTTTATCTTCCATGGCAGAAAATACAGTTTTATGAACAACATCTCTGCTCTCTCAGATAAGCATGCCATTCTCATTCAACAGACACCGGACAACATCAATGTACATTGAACCTTCACCTCTTTTAACATGGAATTAAGATGTCAGTACACATATCAACTATGTACATTTTCGTGACTAGTAGCATGAGATCTCTGACAAAGCTGCTTGGTGATGAATATTGAGCTAAGAACCTGAAAACTCACACATGTCATAAGCAACAATCTTTTGACAGAATCTCAGATGAACAAAATAGATGCCTGGGTTTATTTCCCTGAAAAATGATAAATCAAAATTTTAAAACATGAAGTATCTGACAGATTGTTTTTGTTGCATCTTTGTGTTACGGTTATCTAAGAGAGTATTGCTAAAGCCCAGAAAAGGATGTTCATGTGGCTGCTGATTTCCTCAATGAACGAAAACTCTTTCTTCCCATAGTGAGTAGACCTAGCTGACAATTGACAGTCTCTCTAAAGCTTCCAGGCCATTTAATTCTCAATGAATAATGCTACATAACAAATGGCTTATCATACATGTTTCCATACAATGAATTTCAATAATTAAAATGTAAAATGAATATTTGGGATGCCATTCTGCATAATGTGTGCACACTGACTCAAAACTGCACTGGCGAACTGAAACAGATGTATTATTCTGCAGTGATTTACTTGGTCATGTCAGATTAGTAATATGGATCTGTTTAAAAACACAATAATTAAGACGAGCAGGATAAATTAATCAACTTACAATACTGTATGAGCTGCAATCAAGCCCAGAAATAACAGCAGAAAAATCTCGGTTCACAGATCTCTTTAAACTGCTTTTATGCATAAATAAAACCTTAAAATGTAGATGGATTACGTCCAACAGAACTACTGTAGCTAAAAGTGATAATGATTCAAACATTTTTCAAATAAAAGTTAAATATTTATAAGCACCCAACCACATTTCATAAATCACAAAACTATTATTATTTTATTTCTGAAGCTTCCTGATACACCATGGGGACTGAACCACAGAGAGTGAGGAATGAACATACACATATATATATATATTACTTTATGAGCATTAATCAGACACAAAACCAGAGCCATCCAAGAAACAGGCCTCCAAAGAACATTCCGTATGGCTCTCCCAGAAATCACAATCACTCGGCGCAGTATAAGTCAGGAGCAACCAGCAAACTTCAGCCGCATGCATCCCTACCCCTCTCCCATGAGCGACACAAAGCAGGTGTTTCATTATAATGAGGAGTAAGAATCCAGTGAAAGAAGAGTGGTCCCTACCTGTCAATTATCACTGGATCTGAGGGAGTCTCATTTCGGTTGCCACAGCTTTTCTTGTCACAACAGCGGCTGTGGAGCAAAAGCGAGAGGATTTAGTAAGAACCATTACAATGTAAAATCATCATTTAAGCAGACAGAAGGTTCAAATTGCTGGGTTGCAAATGCTAGAATTACCACAAAGCTATACCTGGTAATCAACGGATCCCAGGAAGAGAAAATTCTATTTGGGTCACTTATGGGTTAATGGCCAGGCTTAACCTCTCCCAGCTCAGACAACAGGAGAGGGAGAGGGCCCTGGCAGAGCCAGGAATGCAGCCTTAAGATGGGGTCTCTCCTTCACTTCTCCGGGTATTGGCAGAGTTCAATGTGAAGTACTGTATTCTCACGTCTACCCAATGAGAATATTCAGGGTCGTGGGTGGATCAAACAGTCTTCCCTCAAGAACACACTAATTGTGTGGAAGGCGTCAATAATGAGGATGAATGATTTCGCTGCCTCTAGTCATCCTGTGTGAAATGGATTCTTTTTCCTCCTCTTTTTGATGGGTGGCACTTCCTTCAACCACAACCTTCTCAAAAACCCCAGAGCAGTGACGGTTTACACTTGAACACCTCCTTGAGAATAAAGGAACACGTGATCTACGCAAAGAGAGGGGGGAGGGCAGATGAAAGTGCAGTCCTTGCTCAGCCCTCCGGCTTTGATGGCCAGCACTGGCCACTTCCTTAGTTTTCTGAGAGTATCGGGGACAATGGAGCCAGTGGCTAGCACAATCCTGATTGTAAACACTAGAACACAAGAACAGCCATGAACAAAGAAAGCCCTGCTCCACAGAGCCCATGCTGTTGTGTCCTTGAAACTGCCAGGTTAAAATAAGTAAGTAAATAAACAAAGAAATAAAAGTTGTCTCTTTCAAGACGGGGTCTCAGGCATCCAAGACTGGCTTCAAGCTTGCTATGTAGCTAAGGGTAATCTTGAACTTCTCCTCCCATCTACCTCCTCAGGGCTGGCTAGGATTATAGGTGCCTACCCACTTCAAGGTATGGTGTTGGGGACTGAACTTAGGGCTTCCCGCATGCACTCTATCACCTGAGATACACAGCCCTCTGCTGAAAATGTCATGTTTCTGACAAATATCCACCCTCACTCAGCAGCAAACTATCGATCTGAAATAAGTTTGTAGGTAACAAGCTGTTCCCTGGCTGGTCTCTACCAGGATACACTGTGGAAGAACATGCTGGATCAGTGAAGAAGGGTGGAAGGTTTGCCAGGAGCTTGACTCCACTGCATACCATAAGTAAAACAGGTACTTTTCTCCATTCCTCTTATACATTCTAATGTATGTAAATACATACATGCACTCACTCACACACACACACTCACATACACTCACACATACTCACATAAACATACACACCCCCACATACATGCATAAATATACATACACTCACACACAAGTATACACACACACACACACACACACACACACACACACACACGTTCTAAATTTAGATATCTGCTGGAGACTACGAAACGTTGAATTTCACTTTTCATTTTCCAAACATAGGAAGTCTTTCAGCAAAATTGAGACACCTCCCTCCTCTCTTTCACTGAATCCCTGAGAGATGAATCAGCTTGGGGCTCGCTCTGAGTCTTTATTTAAAAGGCCAAAGAACTGCATCTCCATTCTCAGAGACTCAGCTGAAAAGCACTGTCTCCCCCACAACCCAATCACTTTCTGATTCACACGAAACTTTTCTCTGGGCCTAAATTCTGTTCCGCTAGTAAGTCACACTACACAGTGATGACCAGGTATCCTATCTGAGAGACCACTAAAGATGCGGGGGAGAGGAAATGTTAGGAGTTGACATGTGTGCAAAATAAATAAATAGCTAAAACTCAACACCAGGGACCAACAAGATAGCTCAGCAAGTAAAGGTGCTCATCACCAAGTCTAAAGACCTGAATCCGATCATGATCCACAGGGTGGAAGGAGAGACCCTACTCCCTCAAGTTGTCCTCTGGCCTCCATAAATGCACCATGAAATGCATACTCACACACATGCACACACTGAATGTATAAAATAATTTTTGAAAACCTAACTTCATTATTCCTGAGAGCTAATACTCTCCACCATTGTTCTCTCTGCTTGTTAGGTTAGCATCATCATTAAGAATGGCTTGTCCAAGCCGGGCGTTGGTGGCACATGCCTTTAATCCCAGCACTCAGTAGGCAGAGGCAGGCAGATCTCTGTGAGTTCAAGGCTAGGCTGGACCAACAGCCTCCAAAATAATACAGAGAAACCCTGTCTCATAAAAAACCAAAAAAAAAAAAAAAGAATGGCTTGTCCAGCTGGGCAGTGTTGGCGCACGCCTTTAGTCCTAGCATACTGGAGGCAGAGGCAGGCAGATCTCTGTGAGTTTGAGGCCAGCCTGGTCTACAGAGTGAGTTCCAGGACAGCCTCCAAAGCCACAGAGAAACCCTGTCTCGAAAAAGAAAAGAGAAAAAAGGAAGGAAGGAGGGAGAGGGGAAGGGAGGGAGGGAGGGAGGGAGAAAAGGAGGGAGGAAGGGGGAAAGGGAGGGAGGAAGGGAGGAAGGAAGGAAGGAAGGAAGGAAGGAAGGAAGGAAGGAAGGAAGGAAGGAAGATGCCAAGCAAGAACGGCTTGTCCAGTTAAGAACCCAAGATGGGGCAGTATCAGTAAAAACTTCATGTTTATACCCTTGTCTCTACTCCAAGTTCAAGAAGCCTGAGCTATGCAGAGGGAGTGATTGCCAAAAGCAGTCCACTGACACAGCCATGTCCCCTTTACTCAGGCAGGAAAGTAAATGAGTGAGAAAGCCTATTCTTCCATCCTTCTCCTTCTCAAAGCAAGTAGACCCTTGGTACCCTTACCCTCACCACAGTCCTTCCTGGGTGAAATGTCCTGGGGGAACTCTTCCAAATTGCTTGATTGTAACTACGGGTGAGCACCCCCCCCCCACTTAAGCACAGGACTTCTCTCCCTACCCACCATTGCCGTCCTCAGCCCAATAACTTTTACTTATTACTGGGAGTACTGCAAAGCCTCCCTCTTGGTTTTGCTGTCTCCACTTTGACTCCATCTAATAGATCTGTCCAATCCAGCAGATGTTTTTGAAATGTTCAGGGGACAGTGCCATTTCGTTGTCTAAGACCTTTGAACAGCTTCCCATTGCACTTTGAATAAATCCTTGGTGTGGCACAATGCCAGGCCACTGACTTGCCACCCTTTCTTTTCAGCTTGCCAAGCTCCAACCTCATGGGCCAGTTGTGATCCCTGCAACATGACATGCTCCATCAGACCTCAGGTCCAAGCCAGGCAAGCTTCTTCTGGGCAACTCCTCTGGTCCTTCTACACTCAATCACTTTTCCTTGGCCCTTAGAAGTCAGTGTAGTTACCCTGGCTTACCTGACATTTCACCCTTAATCTAAATTAAGCTGTTTTTCTCTTGGGCAGTTACTACTGTGCAGCTCAACTGCTTACTTATGTACTGGGGCATTTTGGGAGTATTTTTCCCATTCTGTCTTCCCCTTCTGCTAATTCATATGTGTCATGAAGGTAGAAACTGCCCATATCAATTACCTAATGCATACAGCTTGAGATAGACTATCAGAGTTCAGCTATTAAATGACTCAATGAATAAATGATTGAATGAATGGATGAATATTAATCAACAACTTTATGAATAAGTATGGTGTCCTGGGGGGACATGCAGAGAAGAAAGCAAAGCTGACTACCTAGGCAGACATTGTGTACTCTATCCCATCCCATACACCAAACCACCTTGTGCAAGCAAATGTCACTCTTGGCCCCAGAGATGTTTTTCACCTTGTGTATAGACCTCATCTCCACAGCACAAAGATGCCCAGATAACAGTAAGATGAGTTATACCCGATCTCCAAGGAACCCAAAGACATTGGCATATGGAAAGAACAGAACAGGAATTAAATAAGGAGATTCGAGAGGACAGAAAAAGGAAGGAATGGAAGTCACTACACACTTAGAAAGAAAAGTTTATACAAAATATTAAAACTAGCTGAAATAGGTTCCTGTTTCTTGAGTCACACTGCTGTATCACGTAGTCAAGATTACCCACAACACCTCAGCAACCACAAAAATGTCTACAATATCACTCTGCTAAGATACAAAGAGAGTTAAGGTGGGATCATGCAATGTCCCTCACAGGTTCCTATGAAGTCTAAACCATAATTAGCTTCACTGTTTTGGGAGGTTCTGGAGACTTTGCAGTACAGGGGATGGAAGGGAGCTGACTGGAGGAAGTGGGTCTCTGAGGACATGTCCTTGAGGGCTGTACCTTGCCCTGGGCTGTTTCTATATCCCCATTTCTGCTTCATCATGGGCCCAGAAACACAAAGTAACCATCGATTGAACCCTTTGAAAAATGAACCAAAAGAAATTCTTCCTCCCTTACTCAGTTTCCAACAGACACTATCATATCAGTGAAAGCTGACAAAGACATGTGCACAGCCACGTTTGTACACATAATACATGTGTGCATGTATCTGGAAGTTCATATATGTGTGTGCACATCCATATTCATGGAATTCTATACACTAAAAAGAAATAAGGTAGAGTTGATACACTATCATTGAAGATAGTCTGAACTGACCCATTTTTTTTCCACGAAAATCAAACCAAGAAAGATGGGCACTGATCTCCGTTATACCCAAGGCAGGCATTAACAGGAGGGGCAGGCTAAGAGAACAAAATCACTAATTTTTAGGCAGAAGAGGGCTTACACTAAAGCAATCCTGTAAATGATCACAGGAAAAAGTAAGCATGTTGATCAACGCAAACAGGATGAGCATGCCTGAGGCCCCCATCCATTCACACAGCATCTCTCTGGCTCCTGCCATCTGTGCCTGTATGGGCTGTGCACATGCTCCCTGCAGCAGGCATCTAATAAGGGGAGTTGGACTTGCCCAATTTGATTTGTCCAAGATCAGGATCCCCAAAAAGCAGGCAAGTGTCATTACTTTTTGCATCCCTTTTTAATCTGCAACCCAAATGACAGGACTGCCATGTGGCCA